CTGCACTGCAGCCTAGATGATGGAGCAAGACTCTGTCTCAAAAAAAAAAAGCTATTGCATGTCATAACTTTATTTCCTAGGGCTACGGTTACTTGCACAAATGACTTTGTTTAGCCAAGGTGGGAGGATTGCTTGAGCTCAGGAGTTTGAGACCAGCCTAGGCAACACAGAAAGGTCTTGTCTCTCTTAAAAATAAAATAAAATAAAACATAGCCAGGTGTGGTGATGTGCACCTGTAGTCCTAGCTACTTAGAAGGCTGAGGCAGGAGGATGACTTGAGCCTGGGAAACTGAAGCTTCAGTGAGCTATGATTATGCTACTTCACTCCAGCCTTGATGACAGAGTGAGATGCTGTCTCAAAAAATAGGAATGTAAATGCACATCTACCAAATAATTCTGAAACCCTGCACAACTCCTAATGTCATCTTGAATATAGCATTTGTATATAAGTAGCTAAGTATTGAATAAATCAATAATCAAACAACTCAGGATCAATTCTGCCTTATTGACAGGATTAGGCATATTAGAATTTAGCTCATTGTAATCAATGATATCTCTAAAATACACTCTTAAGCATTGTGCTTGCTTTTATCAAATATGTGATTGTGGTAATATCATTGGATCATATTAATAGTCACAATAACTTTATAGTTGTACAAGGTGAATAAATTAATTTTCAAAGTAATTAAGAGATAACCTTTTACAGATTGAAATTTGTGGGCGTCAGTTGCTAAAACAGGCTGTCACTGCTAAAAATCTAGGTAAAATCTATTGAACAAAAAGTCAAGGGAGTTGAACACTGAGAAATAAGCAACAATATGTTATTCATAATGCTTACATTAATAACCAGGGATGTCTGATGTGCCAGGTTGCAGCAGCTATCTATAGAAGTGCTCCAGGTTCTGGGGAAATTTGGGGAAGCAGATGGCATTTCACATTTATTCACTCCATGAAAATGTGGTAAGAAATTAGCCGACTCTGATAACTTCTGGTACGCTAGCAATTGAGCTAGATAAACGACTTAAGGTTGACGTGTAGTTTATTCTGCTGTACTGAAAGTAAGTTATTGTCATATTGTTTTTCATTAACGCTAACAGAGTCCAGTGAAATTTGACGAAGGAACAATAACTCTCTGCTGATGAATATCTTCTGAGGATAAAATACACCTATCTTAAAAAAGGATCACGCCTATAACATTATGAAATTTCCTTCCTTCCTACATAGACTAATATAAGAGAGGCATCATATTACCTCGGAGTGACAAAATATTAGCATTCCTTAGCAACCCTTGTATAAGCCTGTTGTTGCCAAAACACTTCGGATGCCATGCCTCTACCCACAACTTCAATTACCTGATTACTAACCCCAGGATGAAACTAGCCCAAATGGCAAACTAGCCCAAACTGGTGATCAGCAGGGGTAGGGAGGCATTGCTGGGTTCAGCAATCACTGTCCTCTACACATAACATGCTCTTCTCTATGGGTTCTTCATGGATAGCTAGTTATAGTACCAGCATCTAGGGAGCTAAAAATGTGCTCCCTGCTAATGAGAGATCACATTCAGTGCTTGCTGTCCTAGTGCTGCCTCCAGGCTACAGTACTTCATGACGTAGAAGACAAAGGCAGAAGTTGAGACTAGCTTGATTAACTTTCCACTCCAGGGAATGGCACCATGAATTGGCTAGGAGTGTGGAGGCTGACTTCAGACTGCCTGGGTTCAAATCCTGGCTCTGACAATTATAAAAACTTGGCTGAGTTAATTTCCCCCTAAACTTCCATTTCCTCTTTGTAAATGGAAATGATCATAGCACCTGTTTGTTATAATAAGTATCAAGTAAAATGGTGCCTGAAAAATAATTACCAAAATGTTTGGCATGATGAATTTAAAATGTAATTAATATTTGCTCAAGAACAGCCTCTAGAGATAGTGAAGAATTGATTAATTGATTCACAGAGGCTTTCAGAGTTTTTGTTACTAATGGCCAGATTTCATCCAAAGAAAGAAGTGATTCTCAAGATCCATGTCCGTTGCCTAGCTTTTTTTTTTTTCAAAACAAATACAAAATTTTTTTTCTGTTGTTTAGATAAGTTTTATTGTGTATATTTAAGATATACAACATGATATTGTAAGATACATATGTAGCAAAATGGTTACTATAATGGAACAAATGTATGTATTCATCATCTCACAGTTACCCATTTTTCTCCCTGTCAAGAGCAACTATAACTACTCATTTAGCAAAATTCCTGGAAACAATACACTATTACTACCCTAGACCTCATGTTGCATAAATTTCTTACTGCAATTTCTTTTCATTTCTGATTTGCTCCACTATTTCTATGAACACACATTGTGCCTTGTTTCTTGGTTTCCTTTTTTGTTTTTCTGGACTATATTCTCAAGTAACTTTTTTCATGGCTAGTATGGGAAGAATATTTGCAAAACCCTTGAATATATGAAAATATCTTATTTTGACCTCGTAACTAAGTGCTTTTTGACAATGTTCTTCAGCCATTATATCATTCAGGTTATATAAAGCTCTTATCTGCATTGTATTTTCCACATACTCGGTGTTTCTGATTTGCTGAAACATTTTTCTTTTCTTTTTTTTTATTGCATTTTGGGGTACTTGTGAAGAACATGCAAGATAGTTGCACAGGTACACATGTGGCAGTGTGATTTGCTACCTTCCTCCCCTTCACCTGTATCTGGCATTTCTCCCCATGCTATCTCTCCCCAACTCCCCACCCCTCCGCTGTTCCTCCCCTATTCCCCCCAACAGACCCCAGTGTGTAGTGCTCCCCCCATGTCCATGTGTTCTCATTGTTCAACACCTACCTATGAGTGAGAACATGCGGTATTTCATTTTCTGTTCTTGTGTCAGTTTGCTGAGAATGATGTTCGCCAGTTTCATCCATGTCCCTAGAAAGGACACAAACTCATCGTTTTTGATTGCTGCATAACATTCCATGGTGTATATGTGCCACATCTTCCCTGTCCAGTCTATCATCAATGGGCATTTATACAAAATTTTTAAAGTAAGCTGATATAGCCTGAGTCACATAGTGAGACCCGGTCTCAACAAATCATTAAAAAATAGTCGGACATGGTAGTGTGCGCCTATAGTCCCAGCTACTCAGGAGGCTAAGGTGGGAGGATCGTTTGAGCGTAGGAGGTCAAGGCTGCAGTGAGCTGTGATTGTGCCACTGTACTCCAGCCTGGGCAACAGAATGAGACCTCATCTCAAAAGAAATAATAATAGCAATAATAAGCTGATGAAGTCATATATTCTTCTTACATGCAAATAAAAACACAGCATACATTTGGAGAGCAATATGTTGCTTTTCTTCAACAAATGTACCTGAACTTACACATCAAAAAAAGAGTTTTTATCTTCCAAATAGTCACATCAGGAAGCCGTGCACATATCTCAATAATGCTGCAAAATACTTTTTGAACTCCTTCTTCTAAATTACCTTTATTGCCTACTTCTTTTGGATGACTTCATTGGCAACAATATTTTATCCTCTGGGAGTTCTGAATTTTGAAAGCAAATTTAATACCAACATATAAGATGGAAAAGAATGTCACCTCTGATCAAAAATGAGGAAATAAAGACCTTTCTGCATGACTAGTCAAATGTCTCAAACAATTCCAAAGAATCTCTAAAACATTTCAAGCTAATGAAAGCACTGTCAGATCTAATGTGTCGCTTTCTAGGTGATTAACAAGTTATATATTTATTTATTTAATGTTATTAAGTATGTCTAGAGCACTGTGTCAAGTGCTGTTCTAGAAACTTTTACGTATATCAGTAGGTTCTCTCAGTAGCCTCATTTTACAGATGAGTTTACTGAGGCACAGAGAAGATAAGGATTTTGCCTAAAGACACAGAGCGAGTAAATGGAGGAGGCAGAAGTCAAACCCAGGCTGTCTACTTAATATTATTTGCTATATTTTCTTAAAAGTACAATGTTTTTCGATGAGTTTGTGTCCTTTGTAGGGACATGGATGAATCTGGAGACCATCATTCTCAGCAAACTGACACAGAAACAGAAAATGAAATACCGCATGTTCTCACTCATAGGTGGGTGTTGAACAATGAGAACACATGGACACAGGGAAGGCAGCACTACACAATGGGGTCTGTTGGGGGGAATAGGGGAGGGACAGTGGGGGGTGGGGAGTTGGGGAGAGATAGGATGGGGAGAAATGCCAGATGTAGGTGAAGGGGAGGAAGGCAGTAAATCACACTGCCACGTGTGTACCTATGCAACTATCTTGCATGTTCCTCACATGTACCCCAAAACCTAAAATGCAATAAAAAAAAAGAAAAGAAAAAGCACAATGTTTTTGTATTAGTAGTTATGCTTTCTGGGTTGTTTCAGGTAATGTAATTTAAACTTGGTGAAAGATATATCTTCATGAGTTTTGTATTATGGGAGCTAAAAGTCCTTTTAGTACTAAGAAGTACTTTCTAGACGCTTTTCCTCTATCTTCCCACAGCAGGCTATACAAGGAGGAAACAGTCCCACTTCCCAACCTCCTAGTTTTCTAATGATTCATCCGTCAACCTGATTTTCCACATAAGGAGTCCTTTCACCCAGAAGTTTCTTCAACATTGGACCAGGACCATTCTCTCTTCTCATGATGCTTCCTCACATCTATTTTAAAACTCTCTCCTTACAATTCACTTGTTCTATTACATCACTCAGTAGGTCAATCTTGCTAGACTAATGGGAAAGAAAGAAAAGGGGAGTGAAGAAGGATGTTTAAGCCCTGTTTGGAAAAGTACCTTTTCATATTCTTTCCCATAAGCAAAATGCTTTGAATGTCTCACTTTCCTCTCCTTTCCTTTGAAATAGGAGTTTCCAAAGCAGTTTCATACCAATGCCAAGAAAATATCTCTAATGTGCCATTCAGATAGTGACAACAACCCTAAGAAAACATAATTAAGCAAATTTTAAAAATAAAATATGCTGGAACTTTTTTATTTCAGGATAAAAGAAAAATACAGGAAGAAATCTCACAGAAGCGTCTGAAAATAGAGGAAGACAAACTAAAGCACCAGCATTTGAAGGTAACTTATGACTTTAATTTCATTTCAATGACTTCGTATTCAAAAATTCTAATGGTACTCAAATTTCAATACTAAAAGAGCTTTAGGAAAGAAAAAAATTCAAAGATAGTTTGATTAACATTGTAATAACCACAGGGAAGGACAATAAGCTGGTAATGTTTGCATATGAGATTAATACCTTCTAGCAAACATATGCAAAGTTGAAAACATCATTTTCTTACTTTTATCATTTATTACTGAGTTTCCCAATATTCTTGAGTAACCTTGAGAATTTGGCCCTGCTCGCAGTCTTGCTCAACATCCCTAGGGAGTGGATCCAGCTAGGAAGTTCCTTTTGAAATCAATGAAAGGCCAGCCATGCCCCCCAGGGTGCAGAACAGCGTCTGGCATGGTCAAGGATGCTTGTATTTAAAAGCTCAGTGCCATGAGCCCAATGTTGTTTGAGCATGCTTTGGGTTTTTGTTTTATTTTGTTTTGACAGAACATGAGATCATAACCAAAAATAACTCACCATGTTTAAAATCAGATTTTACATCTTTCACTGGGTGTGGTCACTTTGTAATGAAAGCACATTGAGTTTCAACATTTTATTACTTAGCTTAGCGACAGGATGCAAGCAAATGACAAACAGGAAAAGACCTGGTGAAAAGACCCAAGCAGGAAACTACTTATCTGGCAGAGCTGCTATCAATAGATTTAATGAATCCCCTTAATGATACAAGGTTGCACACTCACAGGGTCTACAAATTTAAATTACCTTGCTGAATGCAACTGACTTCATTTTTTTAATGGAACAAGTACCTACCTCTGAAAAAAAAAACATAATTTAAGATTCCAATTAGCCTCAGCTCTCTGGATTCTGTTTGCTTCTTTGCTTCTAAGTAAGTTGACATTTCCGATGTTTAATGGGTAATTTCAAACCATACTAAGTCTGCTGCCCTTCAAATATGTCACACTGAATTTACATGAGTAGTATACACAGTCAAGAAATGCAGTGTGGGGCCGGGTGCGGTGGCTCAAGCCTGTAATCCCAGCACTTTGGGAGGCCGAGGCGGGTGGATCACGAGGTCAACAGATCGAGACCATCCTGGGCAACATGGTGAAACCCCGTCTCTACTAAAAATTACAAAAAAATTAGCTGGGCATGGTGGCGTATGCCTGTAATCCCAGCTGCTCAGGAGGCTGAGGCAGGAGAATTGCCTGAACCCAGGGGGCGGAGGTTGCGGTGAGCCGAGATCGCGCCATTGCACTCCAGCCTGGATAACAAGAGCGAAACTCTGTCTCAAAAAAAAAAAAAAAAAAAAATATGCAGTGTGTACTCTTAGAAAAATCAATGAAATTAAAAAAAAAAAAGTGCCAAGTTGTTCCAGTGCAATTCAAATGAAGTCAACAGTCAAATGCAGAACAGTGTTTTAGATGGACCATTTCTAACTCGAAAACAAGAGGAGTTAGAGGTCATTTGTTCTCCTTTCCTCTCTCTCTCTCACACACACACTTGCACAATTTACCCACACACAAGCACACAATTTACTCATACAATCCGGATCTCCCAATGAACTACTTCCTGCTTCTGAGTAAACTGACAGCTCTCTAGCTATCCTTGAGAATGGGCAATTGCTATCTTGGCAGAATGGATAACCACAAAACAGCGGAGCTCACAGTAGAAGAGAAGATTTAAATATCCCCTCAGTTCATTCTAGAAAGTAAGTTTCACATGAAAGATCTGACTCACTGCAAGGTCCATTTCTGAGGTAGCACCTCATTTCAGCACTTGCCTAAAACAGTCTGGAAAGCAGTACATCATCTTCCTTATTGGTTTGCTCTCCAGAACACAGGAGACCTCTTCCAATCCAATCCAACCAAAACATTTATCACGTTTTGGTCTGCCATATACAGTTGCGCAGAGTGCATACTGCACAAAGATACCTGAAGTGATGGTGCCAAAATCCTGTCTACATTCCTTTGCCAGTAGTGCACTCTGGTTCAGAGATGCTTATACCTGGAGCAAAAGGTTTCCATTTTCTCTGCCTGAAAGTGCTATCCACTTTCCCAAGCTGTTCACTGGCCAAAAGTGGTATGTGTAGCATGCAGCAGGGCTGGGAATTGGGGGAAATGACATATTGTCCTAATTTAGGAAATTCAAGATTAAGTAAACAAGATAAAGAATAGTTGTTTTAATTTAAACCACAGTATACATATTCTTTAATCTGGGGTGGTCAAGAAGGCACTAATAAAGGTATGTGTTTCAAGCTGAGTCTTAAGCTGATAAGTAGAATTTATATGGATGTACACAGGGCCTTTAGTCAGTAAATATTTACTAAGTACCTATTATATCCAAGGTACAAACTAGACACTAAGAATATAAAATAAGTGAAATTTGGCCTGTGTCCTTAAAAGGGTAACTGATATGTAAACTCATAATGATGCTTATTCTGTGGTAAACACTTTATGGGAGGCATCAGCTGCACAGGGCACAGAGAAGAAAGAGCGGCTATTTCAGTAAAGCGTATTCCTCTAAGTTTTGCAGAAAATAGTTGGCTATACCAAACAGCAACAAGGCATAATTCCCAAATAGGGTTCAAAATGTGCAAAAGTATTTTTAAAAACAACTCTACAATGTGTTCACCAAGTTAGGAAAGCTCTATCCGCCTCTGGAGCCTGTCTCTTATTTTCTTCTTCTTCCATTTGTCCTGGTTTTCATGACTACTGTCTCCACCTTCCTAACTGCAAACTAGTTCATCATACTTCAGTGACACACATTAAACAACATAAGCATAAACATTTACAAAGTGTTCCTCCTATATCAGAATACACACGTTTCAAAATAGTGGTGGTAACTCACTCTGATACTCTTTAGCTCCTGAACCTGATGACCATTCCCACAATGCACTAGCAAGGCAGATTCTGGGACGTTTTTACATCTTAATGTTCAAACTATTCTGAGATCTTTTTCTGTATGGATCTTCTTGCCTAGTAATATGATCACAATCTCATGTTACAAGGAAACACAAAATACACTCAATCTGAAAAATTTTTGATTTCCGTAAGACCACTCAATTCAGTCTATGAAAAACATTTTATTCCAGGTCTACTGTAACTTCTGGGTAAATATAGAAGTGCTTCAAGAAAACCTTTCCCTAAAAAAAAACTGCAGAAAGATCTATCACCTGCATGTCACATAGTTTCATTTAGTTCATATGGCTTTCAATTCTGAATTTCATTGTAAGGTAGATTTTATTATATTCATTAGCCTCATATATTAAAGCACAAGTCTAGACTGTGACATAAAAACAAAATGACCGTTTTGATTACTACAGTATATATGTGATTGTATCAATATATCATTTTGATTGCACATCCAAATTGTATATTTTATATTTAAGTTCAATGGTAGTGAGTTCTCCACCAGGAATAAATGGAAATTTATGAAGTGAACAAAGTTTTACAAGGCTAAAATTAAAATTATTTCTAACCAGACTAAGCATTAAGAAGGTAGCCCCATGTTAACCTAACACATCACAAGAATGATTTGCTTCCCCTTATAATTCAGCCTCATAAAACCACCCCATCTGAGTGTTTCTTATAGAGACATGTATGCGATTGACTGGAGCTTTCCTTACAGCTGTTTTGTACGGAGTATAACTTACTTCTATAGTTGTTACTGTCTTCTTTTCTATGCATTAGCTAAAATTCCATCAATTAAAAATAAATTAGAATCAAGGTAAATTATTAAAATGATGCTATATTCAGATTTTCGCAGCATCTTTGACCCCAGGTGCTGAAATATTGACCGATGTTAATAATATTTACTGGGTCTGCAGGAAAACATTTTTGCAAACAGCTTAACAGCTATAACCAATGGTTAAGATAACACTGGGGTAAACAATCTCTGGCTATAGAGTGCAGTAATACAAATTGCTCTTATGGTGTATATTATCCACACGCAATTGCTTAAGACTCTGAAAAGGCCAACACAAACATGATGATCAGGGGTGAAGTTGTTATTTACTTAATCTAGTGGTTTTCAAACCATGTTCTGTGCATCCATAAGCCTTCAGGTCCCCACACTGCTTCAATTAGAGCAGTCCTGAATTCATCTGTTTTCCAAACTACAGTTCCATATAACATTTATTTGTAATGTTATAAGTTATAGTGTTATATTGGGGTTCTTTTTTAAAAAAAAGTTTAAAAGTCTTTACCTTAGTTAAAAAAAAAAACCATCCTTTGGTAATTATCTATCACAAACTTAATTTTAAATGTGTTTATAATTCAGAGATATTTGTATCTCAGTGGTATTATTCTAGCATCCCTTAAAAAAACACAAAATTATTCTTACTTGCTTGCATTAAATTTCAATATAAGAGAAAGAAGTCCCAAAAAATAAAGTTCCCATTCTTTCCTGATGGATTTTAAACATGGTGAATCCCCAATGAATAATTAACAACGAATAACTGAACAAATAATTTATAGAGGCAGATTAGATACATAATAAGAGCCCTTTTATTCCAAGAGGAAAAGAGAAACTTGAGCTCCTTGAAAATAACATGACAGTATATCTGACACTTTCTACTTGGGATGTAGACTACATGCTAATTAAAGCCCATCCAAAATGTAAAGGTCTTTTTCATTTGTTTTAAGTCATCTTAGGTCTTTAAACTCCAGGTCCAGGAGTTTCATTTCCTCATGCAAACTCAAGAGATTTTTGGTTTTTTCATATGGTGAAATATAATTTTCTGTGTGTTGTTAAAGTTGACAAAAACTCACCAACGTTTAGACAGATCAGTAAATTTTGTGCTTAAGAATGTCTATAACCAGGGAGATTCTAAAAGAAAGAAGGGGTGTTACGTAAGTAAAACAATAAATAGCTACCACACAGCCTGAGACTAACTGAATATGTTTAAGGCACAACAGCAACCTTCTGTTTTTCCCACCATTCCAATTAATCCCACAAAAGGGCTGATAACCAGAATTTACAAAGAACTCAAATAGATTTACAGGAAAAAAACAAACAAAACCATTCAAAAATGGGCAAAGGATATGAAAAGACACTTTACAAAAGAAAACATACATGAGGCCAACAAACATATGAAAAAATGCTCATCATCACTGGTCATTAGAGAGATGCAAATCAAAACCACATTGAGATACCATCTCACACCAGTTAGAATGGCAATCATTAAAAAATCTGGAGACAACAGATGCTGGAGAGGATGTGGAGAAATAGGAACACTTTTACACTGTTGGTGGGAGTGTAAAGTAGTTCCACCATTGTGGAAGACAGTGCGGCGATTCCTCAAGGCCTTAGAAATAGAAATTCCATTTGACCCAGCAATCCCATTACTGGGTATATATTCAAAGGACTATAAATCGTTCTACTATAAGGACACATGCACACGAATGTTCATTGCAGCACTGTTTACAATAGCAAAGACCTGGAACCAACCCAAACGCCAATCGATGATAGACTGGACTGGGAAAATGTGGCACATATACACCATGGAATATTATGCAGCAATCAAAAACAATGAGCTCATGTCCTTTGTAGGGACATGGATGAATCTGGAGAACATCATTCTCAGCAAACTGACACAAGAACAGAAAATGAAATACCGCATATTCTCACTCATAGGCGGGTGACGAAAAATGAGAACACATGGACACAGGGAAGGGAGCACTACACACTGGGGTCTATTGGGGGGAATAGGGGAGAGACAGCGGGTGGGGGGGAGCCGGGGAGGGATAGCCTGGGGAGAAATGCCAAATGTGGGTGAAGGGGAGGAAGGCAGCAAAACACGCTGCCATGTGTGTACCTATGCAACTATCTTGCATGTTCTGCACATGTACCCCAAAACCTAAAATGCAATAAAAAAAAAAAGTTTTTTGAAGCAGTCATATGCTCCCACTGGGAGGAATATCAAAATGGCTTTAAGATGATTTTGACTTTGTTAAGGACATAAGATATACACCCATTAATAACAAATAACACTAAAGACATTATGAGGTCCCATTATGACTGTGATAAACATACAGTATGGCATGATTCTGAAGACAGAAAGTGGGGTCGAGATGGGGCTGCCAGGAGTATGGGGCCAGGGATCTTCATGCCAAAGGACGGACCCAAACTAAACCTTGAAGTATAAATGAGATTTAGATGCATTTATATATATGCATTTATATGCATTTACATCTATGCAAATCTTGGCTTTGAATAGAGTCAAGAAGGCTACAATGAAAGACAATACGAGATTTATTAAGGCAAGACACTGAGAGAAAATACTTCCTCTTTAACGTGTCACCTATTGAAATTCATTAGATTTGAAAGCAGTAAGAGATTTTGGAAACTATTGACCAATATAAGAACATATCTTTATGTTTTCTGACATCAGAAAAAGACCTTGAGGGAGAAATGGCTTCTAGATGGAATCAGCAGCGGAAAAGAACAGGAAGAGATGAAGAAGCAAAATCAACAAGACCAGCACCAGATCCAGGTTCTAGAACAAAGCATCCTCAGGTATGGCCCTCACTGGGACACTCCACAACTACCTTTATTTTGACTTTGTCCCATGTTGTACATAGACATGCCATTCTGACTTTCAGAGGCACAATCAGATCTTCCACTTGAATTTCTTTTTTTTTTAAGGCAGGCTTTCACACTGTCACCTAGGCTGTGGTGCAGTGGTGCGATCTCAGCTCACCGCAGCCTCCGCTCCCAGGGCTCAAGCAATCCTCCAACCTCAGCCTCTAGAGTAGCTAGGACTACAGGTGCCCACCATCAATGCTCAGCTAATTTTTATATTTTTGTAGAGACAGGGTTTCACCATGTTGCTCAGGCTTGTCTAGAACTTCTGAGCTGAAAGCGACGCGCCCACCTCAGCCTCCCAATGTACTAGGATGACAGGTGTAAGCCACCGCAGCCAGCCTTCCATATGAATTTCTAAAAAAGACTAGGGAAGCACACCCAAAGGCCACAAAACAAATTTTACTGTAAATATCACCTGAGTATAGCAACACTAGATTTAATTTTTAAATGCATATTGATGACTTACACTTCTCTGAGCCTGTTTCCTCCAGAATGGTAGGAATGCCTACCTTTTAGTGTTGTTGATCACATTAAAAAATATATGTGCTAAACTACCAGCACCTACCTGGCACATGGTAGGTACACAAACCACAGTCCTTCTTTACAGCCCCAGCCCCTATTCTCACCTTAGGACAGGTGACAAGTCTACAGGTGTGTTTATCCTGTCGTTCCATCATATCCTCTCTCAGGCCCTCCTCAATCACAACCGTGATATTTTGGAAAAGAAGGTTCTCTAGGAATACTCTACTCACAGTTTCCCTCTTCTGATTCTTTGATGATTTGGTCACAGGTGTTCACCTCATTTCTTAACCTCCTTTCCTGCTTATTATGTGAGATCAGTACAGTCAGGCAACTGCTGGCATAAGAAGTAATGTTTTAAAATTATCTTGACTTGAAATAAGGTGATGGACATAAAAAAATGGAAAGCTCAAATGTAAGATGGGATTATTAGTATTATCACATGTGAAAAAGCACAAAAGAAACAGATATGGGAAAGATCAGAATCATTTTCTAACCTACACAGGGAAAACATTTAAAAGATGGAATTTCTTGTGTTATAAGCATGACAACAAATTAAAGTCTACGCATCTTTGAATATAGACAACTTTCAAAACCTCACTCACTTTAATTTTTGCCTTTAGTGAGGACTATAGAAAAGATACGAAACACAGATCTTTGAGTGACACTTAGTATTTGGTAGCTGTGCTACAACCATATTTTGTCCATACTCACTGCACTATACAAACAGATCTGATTACGCTTGAAACTGACAACATGAAAAAAGGCTTCCTCTCTACAAATGATTTCCATTTTACTTGATTAATTGCACGCACTTGTATATTTAATAGCTAAAATCATTGGCTGCTCATCCTTATCTAGATGTTTTTGAAATTAACAATTCTTAAAAGGTTATATTATTGAAATGTTTGCATTTATAAACCCCTCAGTTATTTACTCAAAGATATGAAGTGCTTCTAAATAGTGAATAATACTTTAAAAAATAACCAAATAAATCAACTCTATAGCCTGGAAAACTCAATTCTTATCAAGGCATCCCTTAGCAAGACCTTCTCACCAAGAGTCCAGCTTAAGTGGGTGATTACTTTCTTTATTCCTCAACACAGAATGCTTATCTCTGAAAGAGTCCTAAATTTAATCCCTGCAAACCTTTCCCACTGCACAGACACCTACTTGCTTCCCCTCAAAACCTCCTTTTAGAGTCTTTCCACATACTGAACACCTACAGCTTTCTCTGCTTCTGATGATAATTGAAGTGGCTACATATACACAAACTCCATTAACAGGCTTGGGCAGCATTTTGAGTAATCCGAGTATTAACCAGGACTCTACTGATTGCTTTTAGACCTTGCCTGAATGCTCTGAGAAGCACATAAGCTTCTAGTAGTGCTGATAGTGGCTTCTAGTTAGAGCTTCTTCCTAACCAAAAACTAAAAAGGAAGAGGACGAGGGAGAGGCAGAGGAAGAGAAAGAGATATTTAATAAGCCATAGTATACACCAGGCACTTTACATATATTGTCCCATTTAGTCTTCATAACCTGGTGAGGGTAGCTATTACTACCTTCACTTCTAGAGAAGTTAAGGAATTCACACAACTAGGAAATGGAAGATCAGGGACTGACCCATTTGACTACCAAACTGCCTGTGAGATGATGGCACACAGCAACCTCTGTGGGCTGAAAGGGTATTCTCTCTTATAAAAAGTCTTTGAAGCATGTTCTGTTCCTTTCCTCTCCTTTCTCCAAAAATCTCCAACCACACTTAGGGTCTTCTTTGTTCCCCTGCTCTCTTTGATAAATTACCAATTACATGTTTGATTACATGTCTGTTCATTACCCTATTTCTCACAACTTTTAGATCTTCATGATACTATGAATCCATCGATACTCCTTTGTGAACACCAAATGAGTTTAGTCCTTCAATAGAATAAAAGTAGTGGTTCATTTATAAAAGAACTTATATAATTTACAAAGCACTTGCACTAAGTCATTTAAAACAGCAATCCTAAAAAGAAAGCATCAACACCTCCATTTCACAAGTGAGGAAATAGACGCAGAGAGATTAAGTGACTTAATTAAGGTCACAGAGTCAGTAAAAGGTAACTGAGATCTCCAAGGAAGCCAGGTTTAGTGCTCTCCAGCTGAAAAATGAAAAGAGAGCTGTAAATGAAAATGCTCTAGAAATAGCAAAATGCCTAACACAGACAAGAATCTCTAATAATCAGCAAACTGCTTTGTTTAAGGAATGATTCTAAAAAGATGTATTTGCAAAAAAAAAAAAAAGAAAGAAAGAATTCTGTTTTCTCCTGGCCTATAGAGGCATGTTTATCTGGTTACAAACGTTCAAGCAACAGAATGTTCCGAAACAACACATGAAGAGAAAAAATATCTATGCCTTATCTGTACTAAGCAACCTCCCCTACTGCCCAGCAGTATAAAAATCACATTGCCAAAGCAGCTTTACCTGATAATGGAACATTTTCTTCTCAGATGTTTGGAAAGCTGCTGAAAGAAAATCAGGCGCATGTTTTTAAATTCAATCTTTCTCCTAAACAAGTACCCACAGTGCTTGAGAAGCTCTTATTACCAGCTAAATCAGTACAATTTCCTGTTAGCACTGAGTAGCAATGGTGCCAACTGATGAAGTTGAATTAGGCAGAGCCACTCACATTCCCTAAGCAGGGGAAGTAACCCAAACTCTGAATGTGATTTATCACTTGACTTACATGCCTGCTCGAGGGTGACAGTTGTCATTCTGCCAGGCCCCTCAGCTAGAGGATAAGATTTTAATGGGAACATCAAAATAGAAATGTTGCTATTACCTTGGAGTCCATAGCAGGGCCAGACTATGCCCATGAACCTCTTTCTTTCTTTCTACTTCCAAGGCGCTGTGAAATGAACTGAAGCAGTGTTGCCTCTGGCATTCAAATCCCTGTTCTGCTGACATAGTACATAGGCTAAGTTCTTTCATTTCGTTGAGCCTCAGTTTCCTTGCCTGTAATATGAGACAGTTAGAGCCACTTCACAGGACTGCTGTGAATACAGAGTGCCTGACACATGTAGGTAGGTGTATAAAAAATATTAAATACTAGTCATTACTAAAAGGCAAAATTAAAAGAACAACACTGCATGGCTCTTTATCCACGTATTTGTAATGTTTGGCCAAGTTCTCTGATTTCCTTATGATAGTAGAAAGAATAGTTTGCTTGAAGTAAACTGAGAATACCCACTGATGAGGATTCTTTTCATTTGGAAATAATCGATGATTTCTCTTTATGGCTTAAAGGCTAGAATGCTACTGTAGGGGTTAATTTTTATGGAAAATTTGCTGTGGACCAGGCATTGTGCTAAACATTTTATGTATGTTATTTCATTGAATTTTCACAACTACCATATTAGGTGGGTAACATTTAATAAATGGGAAAAAATTGAGGCTTACAGAGGCTGTTAAGTTACACAAGTCTACAGCTAATGTAAAGAGCCAGGATTTTAAACCTAATTAAAAGTCCTAATCATAAAAATAAAACTGTGCCTCAGATCCTACAGAAATTCTTTACAAATGTTAAATTCTGTAAACTCTATACTTTTTGGGCATTTTTAAATTTCCAATCTATGCTATAATTTCACTCTTATGTGTACCACTTTAGGTAGACATTTACCTGGGTATTTCACATATTAAAGACATTCAGAGGGTACCCTGACTCATGCATAACCTTTAAGTAAAGCCTATCTGCTTATTCATCTTGTCGTCTTCTCTTTCAAAGAGAGGCAACATTTCAGAAAATAAGTGGGTTTCCATGGTTTCTGTCTCTGAGCTACATTCTTAGCTTTGGAACAATATTTTGGAGTATTTTGCCTGGTGCCCTGATTAATACCTTGGGAGGAAATGTTCCCAGGGGAGGGCTCTACTGAACATCTCCTTCTGAGTCACTTTGCTTAAATAGAGTTTCAATTTGCCTCCCAAATGAGCCCTGCTCTTACTGCGACCACTGAACCATTTACTGCCTGATTGTAGACACAGGAGCACTGATTTTTGACTCCAAATATCCACGTGCACAAATGTATAGCCTGGCTTGGAAATCTTATCCTAACGCTTTCCTTGCTCTCCTCTATTCGATAGTCCACACCCACAGCAACACCCGCCAGGAAGTCTCCTTAGGAGGTGTGCTCCCGGCAACTTGTTCACATCCTGGGTTCTTCCTCCCTATCCGGTTGCCCTGCAGTTGTCCATGACCTCCCTTAGCCAAACTGCCCTGTACCAAGCTCCGGTTCAGACACTCTACTTCTTGAACTGTGTGCCTGACAGAAACGTCATAAGCCTGAAATGTAAAAGGTTAACTGCCGAGGAGAACGATCTAAGTACACTGCATTCCCTTTGGGAATGATAAGCTACTTATGATTAAATGTTCTCTAGTACGGATTTTTTTGTAAATACTCCCAAGTGTCCTTCTGACCTTCTGCCTTCTTTTAATGAACTTTCATTTATCCCCCAAATAGTTAGAAACCACCTTCCACATACGATACAAATGGGCAAAGGTATATGTGAAGCCTTGGCTGTCTATGGGACTACCCAAGCCAAGAGAAAAGCCAAGTTGGCTGGCACAGCAGCTACAGCCACATCACACGTAACTTTAAGGAAAATTCCTCCACAAAGGGAGCCGAAACCCAAGAAAATGTATTCTGCTCAATATCATGTGAGGCAATAATCTACTCAGTTAACTCAAAAGTGAGCAGGCAAGATTCAATTCAAAAGGAAACCCAAAACATTGATGTAGAAATATAAAAGTTAAATCTTTTTGTTACTGGTTATCATTTATGAAAGTTTAGCTTGTTATTATTTCCACCCAAGTTTAACCCCTTTAACTACCTGTGCAGGTCAATTGTACCTTAATGAAACAAATGTTTCATCAAAAACAGGGGAGGTATGCCATGTGAAAAAATATCACATTCTACATGTTTCTGCCTTCCTACCCAACCCATATCTAATACCACATAGCAGAGAGATAGACAAGCTGCTCTTTTATGACAATATAAGAAAAAGAAGAAAAAAGACAGGGGAAAAAAAAACTCCATTTGTTTCTTATTAAATTTGCTGTTGCCTGGAGACACTCAAGAAATTATTCTAAGGTAATTATATGAGTCAAAATCATTCCAAGCATGTTTTTCACTCTCCATATTTGACTAATTGGTTTACCAGATCTGTGATAGTTCATCTGTTGTTGTTTTTAATCTCCCAGATAGTCTGATTATTTTTAATTCAGGAGCTTCAGTTTTAACTTAACAAAAAAAGCTAAGTAAACCAAACTTAAAAGTAAAATAAGGGAAGAAGTCTACCCAATCCAACCCACCAACACACACACAGGCCCCTAGTACACCGCCTAGCACATAGTAGGAATACCTGTGAATATATAGCTTAATAAATGAATGAATGAGAAAAACAGATGATATATGGATGAATATTAGTACTTAAAACTGCTACCTTTCTAAGAGGACCAGCTGAAGAAGCCTGGATAACGACTTAAACATTAATGAACTAAAAAGGAAAGCCTTGAAACGCTTAAAAAAAAAAAAAAAAAAAAAAAAAAAAAAAAAAAAAAAAAAGGAAAGCCTTGAAACGCTTTAAAAAAAAAAAAAAAAAAGAATAAACATCCAGCTAGTTTGAGTCAAGGACATTTATATGGTAATAGTGTCCTGGTTTTTGAAACAATTATTGATGGCATGTTTTACCATATTACCATCGCTTTGTTTACTTTCTCCCCATTTTCTCTTCCTCTATATGCCCTTTTATTTCCTTATTCCCTCCTTTCAGCATTCATTCTTGCTCAAACCTTCCAATCTTATCCATATGTTAGTAGAAATAAGGATTAAATGGTTACTGGCCCCCACCATGATAGGCTGGAAAGTAGATTTCAATTACCTCTGAGGGTCCCTCCTCTACTCCACTTCAATTTATTTAATAACAGCTACCCTTGATGGAGCATTATTCTGAGAATGACAATTCTCTGAGGGAAGTCTAATTAGCCTCCTTTTTTACATAAGAACACCAAAGCACAGAAAGCTATAAATCTGGTAGCAGTCATGCCAGGAGTCACACGTAGGTCTTCCTGACTCCAGACGCTTTCCACCAGAACTTACTGCTTATTCTTGATTCATTTAGTGAATATTATTGATAACTTGCCATATGTAAGTCTTTGAGTCTTATAGAGAAGATTTCAGAATGATAAGCTCCCAGAAAAAAAAAATTATATTTGTGTTTTTCTCTCTTTAAATCCTTTAACTTTTCAAAATGCACTTACATTTATTATCTCACTCAAAATGGGATTCAGTACCTTGAAATACAAATTTGACACCATTAGCAGAGTTGTCATAGATCTTTGGCTGTCTGACATGAGTAAAGATAGAACAAAGGAGTAACTGAACAATCCGGAAAGTGGGAGGTGAATTAGTTTCAGTGATCTGTTCTCCAAACCTTGGTCACAAAGGAAGAATGTTCAAGAGCAGCAACTCATTGTAATAGACAAAGGATCTGTGCTGCCTGCCACAGGGCCTAGTCTTCTCCATTCTGCAGGAGTGTTTCCCGTAACTAATTTTACCAGCTCAAAACACTTCCACACTCACCCCCTTGCAATGCATCTTTTGTCTGCCATAAGGCAAATGTCACTTCGTCCATTTAGACCACCCAAGGTTATCTGATTCTTCCTGGCTACCCTATGTTTCATTAGGATTGAAATTTATATTTGTTGATCTTCAAACAATACAGCTCTGTTCTTGGCAATCAAATATGAACAATTAACATCAAGAAGCAAACAAAAATGAAGTAGATAAAAAGTAGAAAATATAGTGGCTGCTCTATAATATTGTCAGGAATAAATGTTAAGGGTTTCCAAGGCACAAAGCCAGGAATTATTCCTGAAAGGAGAGAGTCACTAGCTGTCTACATCATTGAATACTTTTTACCATTTCATTATATAGTTACAAGCAGTTTATTCATAGAAATGTTTTTCTGTTCAATTTTTTTAGGAGGAAAAAAAGGCTTACCAGAATCATGGATAAATAGATCTTCAGTTAACTTGCCATGTCCTGGCCACAACAGTAGTAGATGGTCACTTGGGAAACCTCATGACACCTGGGTGCAAATCGAATTGTTACAATTATTTCACTCCTATTAAATGTGCATCATGTACTACAAGGTTCTCTACAATCCCTTACTAAAACACACACACACCTAGTTTCTGTCCTGCCAGAGCACTTGAGAAGCCCATGACTAATCCTTCATATCACATCAACCTTGAGGTATATGTTTATTTGCACTCATATGGAAATTACATTTGTATAATAACTTGTGCATGACAGTGGCTGATACTCTGAAAACCAGTTTGATTTCTTATTTTTCATGGCAAATGAAACCCTCAATTTGCAAAACATTGTTCCGATTAAGAGGGTTTGCTTCTCTGCTAAATCACTCTCTTCTGATGTTACATACCTACAAGGCAGTTTCAGATCAGGATACTATCATCTGCCCAGAAGAAAATTATTAATATTTTCAGAGTTATATTAGGAGATGAGATTCACCCATGCAAAAGCTATTCACGTGTAATTAATTATTCAGCTTTCTAAACATTTGCTCTGTTCCCAACCATCAGAGCAAACCATGGCTTGCTTCAATGTCATTGTTGCCTTGGCTCTCTGCTTCTTGTTATCTTAAAGTTGCTGCATTGTGTTGTTTGTCCTGTTCTTAAATGCTCCAGATTAGAGGCCACAGATCTGGCTTGCAGCATACAGTGTTTGCCGTATGCCAAGTGCCCTTTCATTCTCTGGCATGCTTACCAGTAGCATGTGATTGTTTGCACTAGCAGGCTAGATCTTCCTCATTACACATGCACTTTGGCAATGGCTGGTTCTAAGGCAGTTCTTGTTCTTCTTCTTTTCTTTTTCTAAGGACACCAGCCATATTGGATAGTTTTTGTTCTTACCTACTGTCTGTGCATTGAATTATTCTTTATCCTTTTTGATATGCACTTTTTAAAAATTTTTATAGATATGGGGCACAAATGGTTTTGTTACATGGATATACTGCACAGTGGTGAAGTCTCCGCTTTTAGTGCAATCATCAGCCAAATAATGTTCATCGTACCCATTAGGTAATTTCTTGTCCCTCATACCCCTCCTACCCTCTCACCCTTTTGAGTCTCCAGTGACTATTATCCCACTCTATATGTCCATAAATACACATTACTTCACACCAAGTTATAGGTCAGAACACGTGGTCTTTGTCTGTTTCTGAGTTATTTCACTTAAGATAATGATTTTATTTCAGCTTAGTGAAGAAAATATGCATGACATGTAATAGGTCCTTAATAAAAGTTTGTTATACATTTGATGAAATGTACTAAACCCCAATTATAAAAAGTAAAACAAAAAGCTCACCTTCTAATAGATTACATTACCCTCAATTTTATTAATAAAATGTAATTTGCCATTACCTTTGGCCAAATTATCTATAAAGATGAAATATCTTTAACCTCTGACCCATAGTAATAATTTATCTGCCTATTACGTATGACTAACACACTGCAGTCAAGATAACTTGACTAAAGTCAGCTGCGTATACTCAATAGTAGCCATTGAACTTGCAGAGAGATTATTTTAGATGAGCTATGATTTTAAAAATAAAAAGACCTGGCCGGGCGCGGTGGCTCATGCCTGTAATCCCAGCACTTTGGGAGGCCGAGGTGGGTGGATCATGAGGTCAAGAGATCGAGACCATCCTGGTCAACATGGTGAGACCCCGTCTCTACTAAAGGTACAAAAAATTAGCTGGGCATGGTGGCGCATGCCTGTAATCCCAGCTACTCGGGAGGCTGAGGCAGGAGAATTGCCTGAACCCAGGAGGCAGAGATTGTGGTGAGCCGACATTGCGCCATTGCACTCCAGCCTGGGTCACAAGAGCGAAACTCCGTCTCAAAAAAAAATAAATAAAAAGACCTTTCATTTTTCACTGCTAACCTTAACCATTCAATATTAGCCAGCTGTCAACCCAAATCATGCTAGATTTGATACGTCTTTTAGAAACATACAAATCCTTTAACCACTGGAGGCAAAGACTGATTAATTTTTCTGTTTTTACTAGTTATCTATACGAAATGCAAGATACTAATGAGTAATTATGCAAATCAGTGAAAAAAATTATGAAAAATCACATAAAATCTGTCACACTACAATTCATTCCCCATAAGGTTACGCAATAGTCAGCATACTGGCTTTGTCACTTTAAAAGAGTCCTCAAGAGTAGTGGCTTAATGAGATAGAAAGGTCCATTTCTCTCACATACATCAAATCCTAACTGGTAGACATTCAAGCAAAGGAGAGTATCAGTGTTACATGAGATTATCTAGAGGCCCTATTTTTGTTTTGTTTTTTTTTTTGAGATGGAGTCTCGCACTGCTACCCAGGCTGTAGTGCAGTAGTGCAACCTCGGCTCACTGCAATCTCTGCCTCCTGGATTCAAGCAATTCTCCTGCCTCAGCCTCTCAAGTAGCTGGGACTACAGGTGTGTGCCACCATGCCCAGCTAATTTTTTTTGTATTTTTAGTAGAGATGGGGTTTCACCATGTTGGCCAGGATGTTCTCAATCTCCTGACCTCGTGATCCACCCATCTCAGCCTCCCAAAGTGTTGGGATTACAGGTGTGAGCCACTGTGCCCAGCCTAGAGGCCCTATTTCTTTCTGTCTTGTTGCTTTGCTACCTCCTAAGGGATAACCTTGTCTATATGGTCAAAGCTAGCTCACCACCTCCTCAGCATTCCACTTCAGGAAGGGAAGATAAATGGAGGACAAGCAGCTCTATTTTAACGGCGTGACATGACAGTTGCAGACGTCAATTCTGCTAATACCCTGTTGGCCAGAATTTACTCACATGGTACCATCTGAATGCCAAGGACACTGGGAAATGTAGTCCATAGCAAGGTAGCCAAGAAGTCATATAAAACTCAGAATGGATTGGGGGTGGGGTGTGGAGAGAGAAAACAGCAGGTTGTCAAAAAAGACTAGTATGTTCTTTCTGCCCACATTTACTAAATACACATCATCCCCATACATATTATTACAACTCTTCTGATCATGCTGGATCACTGTTGAGATTTTCTGTTTAGAATAGTATTTTCAAGGACAGGTGTGTCCCTGAAGCTATATTCGTACCATGCATGCTAAAGTTGCAGATCTAACACTGGAATAGACCTGGTAGATTTTTGTCTTCCAATGGGGTTGTCACAGACGGTCCTCCTCTCCCAAGCAAACTAAGAAAGAGAAAAGTGTAACTCATTTTCATTTTTTTCTGAGACAGAGTCTCACTCTGTTGCCCAGGCTGGAACACAATGGCATCAACTCATTGCAACCTCTGCTCACTGCAACCTCTGCCTCCCAGGTTCAAGTGATTCCCCTGCCTCAGCCTCCCAAGTAGCTGGGATTATAGGTGTACACCACCATGCCCAGCTAATTTTTGTATTTTTAGAAGAGATGGGGTTTCACCATGTTGGCCAGGCTGATCTCAAACTCCTGACCTCAAATTAGCCACTCACCTAAGCCTCCCAAAGCGCTGGGATTACAGGTGTGAGCCACCATGCCTGGCCCAGTAACTCATCTTTATTAAGGAATTCCTCTACCTCAAGCCCTGTTGTAGAGTTTTATGAACAAGTAGCTCAATTATCTCCTGAAGACAACCTTTGGTAAATACTGTTATTATTCCCTAAATGAGAAAACAAGCTTGCAGGGGTTAAATGATTAAGCCAAGTGCATTAGCTTTGAGATGGGTTTATTTTCTGTTTCCATGGGTAAAACTGGAGGAAGAAGTACTTTCATCTCCTGAGAAGGGGGGCCTTCACACAAAAACTCACAAAATATAGATGAAGCACCAACTGTTTCCTGTTCTCCCAAGATTTAGTGGGGAAGAAAGGGAAGAGAATCTCTGGTCCAAGGGAAGAATCAAGTTAGAACTGCTCACCACTCTAGGCAGAATTCAATACTTATCTTAGGCAAAGACATTCTGAGAGCCTGTGAGTTCTGAAAGAAACTGGATCCAGCTGGGCACGGTGGCTCACACCTGTAATCCCAGCTTTTTGGGAGGTCAAGGCAAGGTGGGAGGATCACTTGAGCCCAGGAGTTAAAGACAAGCCTGGGCAACACAGGGATGCCTCACCTCCTGAAAGAGAAATATATATATATATATTTATTTATTTATTTATGTTTATCTAACTTGGGGAATGTCGGCGGTGGGGGGTTGGTCCTAGCACTTCTGTCAGCTGTCCTCAGATGTGCATCAGTAGTGTCATGACACCTGCTGCCTCAGGCTATCCCAGAGAAATAGCCATTGGACCCCCTCATTAGGTGTAGTCCTGGCTTTTAATAAAAGAGTTTGGGCTACTGAAACCAAGTAATTCATCAGTCCCTTCAACATACATAGCTAAGAGCCAGTCATAAACTTAAATTCATACCTAGCATTGGTGGTTACATTGAAACTGCAGTAAAATAATCAAATTGCATTAGCCAGCTTTATATTTAAGACCTACGGCTTCAATTACTTTGAACAACACTATCTTGTGTGCAAGGAAAGACTTTCTTTTCTGACCTCAAGTCTTGCTATAAAGTGGCATTAGCTTAGGAAACCCCAGATTCTTTGAAGGAGACTGTTCTAAGAACTCCTACCAAGAACCAAAGTCAAGCAGCCAAAAAAAAAGAAAAAGCCCGGATTTTAATTCTTGTTACATGGACTAACCCACTGACCAGAAAAATCTCCAGTACAGCAAAATAACACTAAGGAAGATTAGGACAGAAATATTACCTTTATATGTAATGGGTCAGCACTTTTACACACTGGTGGGCCCCATCTATCATTTCACTCTTTACTTCCTTTATTATCATAGAAAGTTAAAAAAAATCCCTTTATACTGCTGAGCAAAATGAACGTTGTGTCTAAGTTCTTAAGAATTCATTTTTTTAAGTTTTCTTTCTACAGTGGCTAATTGGAGAGGAGTTAAGAGTTCAGACTCTGTAAGTAAAGATCTGATTCCAAATTCCATCCTGCCACAGGCAGACTGTGAGCCTCCAAGCTGGGTGCCTTTCTAGGCACCCAGCTTGCTCATCTGTCAATTGGAACTAACCGCAGGGCTCATGGGGGTTGCTGTAAGGATGAAATAGGTCAGTGCCGGGTGCAATGTAAATATGCAACACATGTTAAATGTTATAAACGCTAACACATGAAGTACCAAAAGGTAGGATGACGACATTTGAATTTTGGTTTGTGTGGTTTTTTTCCCCTCATGAGTTTCAGTCTGTTTGGCCCCTAATGGCAAACTCTATCAGATTGTGAGTCCTTGTTAACTCCACCAAAAGCTGAGAGAGATAAATGGACCCTTAGCAGCAGAAAAATTGCCTTCTGAAATAACCTCTTCCTGATGCATCCAGCATTTATGTGCTGTCCTTTTTTCCAAGACAAAAAATTGCATGTTGGAATTGGATTGGAGACATTATCTCGTGATGATTAAGAGAGGTTATTACTACAACAGTTCATGAAATGAACTGTACCTGCTTTTACCTAGGGAGCTCTTGAAAATAACCCTCTTTTTCCCCAGCAAATAGGCAAGGAGAAGAAAGATTCCAATAATGGATAGCATTACAAATCCTTTTTCATGTACTCTGCTTATCTAAATTGGCACATGATGCCTGCCCACCATCTCTCAGAAATTGTGAGAGGTACTGATTCATCCATCAAGCCCCACCTAACAGCCTGGGAGGCACCAAGAAGGGTATTTCTCTTTCTCTGCTGGCTGTTCCTCGCCAAACTGAATCAGCATTTCAAGGAGCTCAATTCCCATTCTGAAAGGTAATACCTTCTAAAGATGGCGATGGCAGCACTTATGGAAATTCTAACCCATCAGCTGAAAGATAGGCATGTGAAGGTTAGTTACCCCCCGCCAAGGTAACCTCCCCAAAAGCTTTCCATTTGAAAAAATTGTAATTGTACATATATATGTATATGCACCCACACATAAACACACGTATATGTACATATGTATATATACACACACACATATATTTCCTCAATACTTCACTTATACTTACCATATTTTTTCTCTTCTCCAAAACTACCTTTGGAAAGAGATTAGGAATGAGTTCCTAATTTAAGTCTGGCATTGTTTAAGCTTTAACTATGAATCATCATTGAACAATGAAAAGAATAGATACACAAACATGTATGTATATTGGAATGGGAAGAAATAATGAGGAAAAATTTAAAATATCAAAAAAATGAATAAAAACAAATTCCTTTTACAGTACATATCAAGAACTTATACTATACCAGGCATTGTTTTTTTTTTTTTGAGATGGAGTCTCACTCTCCTGCCCAGGCTGGAGTGCAATAGTGCAATCTCTACTCACTGCAACCTCCGCCTCCCAGGTTCAATTGATTCTCCTGCCTCAGCCTCCTGAGTATCTGGGATTGCAGGCTTATGCCACCATGCCCAGCTAATTTTGTATTTTTGGTAGAAAAGGGGTTTTACCATATTGGTCAAGCTAGTCTTGAACTCTTGACCTCACAACCCACTCACCTCAGCCTCCCAAAGTGCTGGGATTACAAGGATGAGCCATTGTGCTCGGACACCAGGTATTCTTTTAGGTATCCAGGGTTCCTCAATCCCAGCACTATCGACACTTGGGACTAAATAATTCTTTGCTGTGAGGAAACTATTCTGGGCATGACAAGACATTTAGCACCATCCCTGGCCTCTACCCACTAGCAGTCAGCAGCACCCCCCTCCTCCCCCTGCCAAGTGATGAGGAGCAAAAATGTCTCCAGACTTTGCCAACTATCCCCAAGGAGCAAAATTGCCTCTGGTTATGATCCACTGTGCTAGACATACAAAAATTGCCCTGCCTAGTAGTTGCAATTTCTGTTTCATGCTCGTTAAGGACAGTCAGTGCTCAAAGATTCAGTGTACTGTCTGGTGTAGGGGTTGTCAAACCTCCTCTTCGCTATTGCTGGGCTACCGCTGACTTCTGACCAAATGGAGGGGGTTGAAGGGTTTGGGCAGCATCCAATTCCTTACTCTCAGTTATACTTTCTAAGTCTCTCATCATTTCCACTGGCATTCTGATCCTTCGGAAAGCTTTTCTAAAGCAGCAAATCTCTAACATTCATCTGATATTTGTATTGTCCATAAATATTAGAAGTATCAAATCAACACACAAAAATAAGACATCAAGTTTTACATTGAGGTGGAAATTTTAAGAAATGTTCTACAACAGTAGGCATCTCCTGTCGGAGGTTTGTGATTCTAAGTAATTAGTACGAAGATGCTTCCTAGTTATCCTTTTTAACTCAGAGTTGGCTGTGACTAAGTGATAAAGAAGGGGAGGGAGGTGTTTATTCATGTTTAGTTTTCACAAACATGTCATGATGTATTGTGAGACTGCAGCCACTTATTAATGCAACTTTCACCCAGTGACTTGAAACCCTTCAAAAAACATTCATTAGCAGATATGCTGATGAGGTTTGCAGGCTTTCAACCTCATATTCTCACCATATTAGTCTAAAGAGATCCTCAAGACAAATCATAAGGCATTACATTACCCATGGCTTTATCTTCGGAGAGAAACAACAACAAACACCAGTGCATTTCAAAATTCCCTAAAACGTCAATGGCCAAGCAGACCAAGAGCTTTGTCTCTGTGCCCCAGGAAAAGAAAGGGGCAGAGACAGGAAGAAACTAACTGAAGTCACTGGGCATAGTAGCTCAAGCCTGTAATCCCAGCACGTTAGGGGGTGGAGCCGGCAGATCACTTGAGGTGAAGAGTTAGAGACCAGCTTGGCCAACATGGTGAAACTGCATCTCTACTAAAAATACAAAAATTAGCCAACTGTGGTGGCGCAATCCTATAGTCCCAGCTACACAGGAGGCTGAGTGAGGAGAACTGCTTGAACCCAGGAGGCAGAGGTTGTAGTGAGCTGAGATTGCACCCTGGCACTCCATCCTAGGTGACAGAGAGAGAACTCATCTCCAAAATAAATAAATAAATAAATGAAAGAAAGAAAAGAAAACCCTATGAAGTTGTTAACATTGGCCAGACCTCTAAATGTTTCATTGCCCCAGATTCAGTCCTCGGAATTCTTATCTCCCTCACTTTTTAGGAAAGTTATAAATACCAACTCCCAAACGTATAAATACCAACTCCCAAACGTATATCTTCAAACCCAGATTTCTCTGAGCTCCAGTCTTGTATATCCAACCGTCTTCTCCATATCACACTTGATTATCTCCAATTTAACACATCCCCCACAAATCCCCTTTGTTCTGTCTCCCAGATTTCTGTTCAGCCAATTGTATTTGCTTGCTTCCAATTACTCAGGTCACAAACATTGGAATCACCTTGACATCTCCCTTTCTCTTATCCCCTGTATATAATCATCAACAAATTCTGGCAGCTCTTTCTCTCAAATATTTCCATAATCCAACCACTTCTCACCCTTCTACTGGCAGCCAACATCTGGACTATGCCATCTTCATCTACAGTTTTTAGGACAACTGACCTCCAGGTTTGCCCATCTGGTCTAGTCTTCACACAGCAGCCAGGGTAACTGTTTACATTTCAACTCATAGCATGTTTTGTCTCTGTTCAAAATTCCCATGGCTTCCCAAAAGCCGTTCATGTGCAAGGCCCTGTATATCTGGCCATCTGCCTCCTCTCTGACTTCGTTTCACCTTTCTACTCTATCAGCTCATCCTCCGAGCTTTGTAGTCACTCTTCCGTCTCCCTGGAGTACACTCGCCTTCAAACCTTCATGTCTCCTGCTCTCACTTCCTTCCTGTCTCTGCTCAAATGACACTTTATCAGAGAGAACTTTCCTCACCACACTGTGTGAAATAGTGCCCCCTTCCCAGTCTTTCTCTATACTCTTATCCTGCTGTTTACAGCCTCTACCCTGCTTTTTTCATCAAAAATGTTTTTTCCTCATAAATGTGTGTGTATATCTATATACATATAGATATACACATATATGTGTGTGTGTGCAATATATACATATTGTATTAAACATTTATTAATGCAAGGGTTGGCAAACTATGGCCCAGGATCAAATCTAGCCCTGGTCTGATTTTGTGCAGACATAGCTAAAAAATGTTTTTATATTATTAAAAGGCTACAAAAGAAAAATGGGAAAAAAGATGAATATGCAACAGAAAGCATATGTGGATGGCAAAACCTAAAATAATCAGCATCTGGCTCCTTATAGGAAAAGATTGCCAGCTCCTGTATTGTCTCTCACTAGAATGTAAACCCCTTGAATGCAGGGACTTTGTTTTGGTCACTGTAAGTAAGATCCCCAGCATATAGAAGAGTGCCTGGTTCAAAGTAGATGCTAAGTAAATGTTTTTAAAAGAATGAATGGATAAAGACAAGTTTTTTTTTTGTTTTTTTTTTTGTTTTTTTTGGAGACTAGATCTCACTCTGTTGCCCAGGCTGGAGTGCAATGGTGTAATCATGGCTCACTGCAAGCTCAACTGCTCAGGCTGAAACAATCCTCCCATGTAGCTGGGACCACAGATGCAGGACCAGCTAATGTTTTTGTTATTTGTAGAAACTGGGTCTCACTATGTTGCCCAAGCTCATCTCTAACTCCTGGACTCAAGCAATCTTCCTGCGTCAGCTTCCTAAAGTGCTGGGATTATAGTCATAAGCCACCTTGCCTGGACCAGTGCTGTCTTGTGAGGTCAGGTGACTTGTCCAGGGTCACACAGGAAACTGGCAGATGAGCCAGGATTCAAACCCAGGTCCACCAGATTCCACAGTTAGGTCCTGATGTCCAAGAGCTGCTTGCAGCAATGATTTGAACTTTCCTGTCTTCTACCAAAAGGCTTCCCTTTGTAGACTGTCTCTAAGAGGCAAATTAGGTAAGGACCCTGTGGGAATGACATACAGTGTGTTGCAGAAAACCTTTAAAAATTATATCACAACAAACTTGCATCTGATATCAACCATATTCAATGTGCTTTCAAACACATCATCTCTTAGTGTCACCAAATATCTGTACAGGGTAAAAAGTGAGTTTCAGAGAGGTTAAAAGAATTGGCACTTATAAGAAGTGAGTAGCAGAGACAGGACTGCACCCAGATTATCACTTTCGGTGCAGAGCTTTCCCCTTTAACAAACTGGACCAACATATATCCCCACAGCTCTGCTGAAGGGTAAAGGTGTCACCATGGATGTGGAGGAATTTTAATAAAATGGCAGTCGCAGTTCAGTAACTTCTAAAAAACCAGAGGTTACTCCATTTATTTCACTTAAAGGTCTGTGGTATGTAAGTAAACCTCCTGAGTTATAAATGGCAATCTACCAATGGCCAGAGGCAGCAGCAAAGTAAGAGCTTTGAAACTGAAGCGATGAGCAAAGAGCTGGCAAGCTGACCATCTCTTGGGCTTTTATTGGTGTGACAATAGCGCAGCGTTTTGGAGCTGCCAGGACCATGACCATCTTTAAGAAGGAAGCCAAGAAAACTGACAATTCTCTTAGCTGACATGAATATCCACAGCTGTCATCTCCTGAACCAGCTGCTGAATCTAATCAGCCATCCTCTGAGGCAGCTGACTTTAGAGCCTTAGTGTATTTGGCTGAGAAACTATGTGTTACGTGGCTGCCAAGGGCCAGCCTTCGTGCGTGATTGCCAGTGGCTGTATGTTTTTATAGAGTAGAGGTCACGATGCTGCCCCCTGGAGTTTATTTGAATCTGACATGCAGCTGTATGCTGGCCAAGATACCAGCTCAGAATTCTTGCAAGTGTCCAATTTCAAATGTCTGTCTCTGTCGTTGTAAGTTACTTATACTGTGTCTGTTTTTCCCCCAGAAAAAGTAGTCTCTAGAAACAGCAGATGTGTGCTATGTGTACCTGTTTTTTCCCCCAGAAAAAGTAGTCTCTAGAAACAGCAGCAGTTGAAGCTACTGTGCCTAGATTTGGTCAATTTCCACATCTCTTTACCCTACTCACTATAATATGGCCCAGCTCTTAGGAAACTGAAATTAAATCAAAGTGTCATTTTCAATGACAGAATATTTAAGAATTTTAAGTATTAAATGGCTGTGATTATTAAGTCAGTTTCATAATTATGTTTTCTCCAAATAATTTATATGGTGACTTGGATATGAAAAACTGGTGAACTACGTAATAACTATAAATATACCATTCCTTTCAGTACATCTTTAAACTTATGTCTCTGTATTTAAAAATCTCTTTTATTTGGAAGTAACATTAGTAACTACAGTGAAGAAAATGGAGCAAAGTTCAAGTGCTTTACCTAATATGTTCCTTTGTCAAAAAAAGAAAATTTGGAAATTGTTCAAAGTCGGGCGTTAGGTACCTTCTATGTATTAAGCATGATGCTTGATGTGATGCTGAGTGTGACATTATGTTCTTAGAAGGTGCCTGGCTAGTTACATGCATATTCCAAGGAAAGTTTATATATGGGGAAGTTATATTTGAGAACTCTGCATTTGTGCTATGTTAAGGAAAAATAAAAATTAAAATTAAAAAAAGTGTATCTTTTTGTTGTCAGGCTTGAGAAAGAGATCCAAGATCTTGAAAAAGCTGAACTGCAAATCTCAACGAAGGAAGAGGCCATTTTAAAGAAACTAAAGTCAATTGAGCGGACCACAGAAGACATAATAAGAGTGAGCATCACCCAATTGTAAAACTGTAATTCTCTCTCAAAAATGAATCATCAAATACTACATAATTTTTCAAAGCATATCCACATTTAGATTCTATCTTTTAAACTGTATTAATCATGGAGAATTCTTTTTTCTTATAGTCTGTGAAGGTGGAAAAGAAAGAAAGATCAGAAGGTATGTTTTTGAATAACTTACTTTATGTGGAAGTTTTTTGGTAATTTGAAATTTTTCCCATTGTTATAAATATATTCTAAATGTATTTTGAATTCATATTAATTTTACAGAGTCAATTGAGGACATCTATGCTAATATCCCTGACCTTCCAAAGTCCTACATACCTTCTAGGTTAAGAAAGGAAATAAATGAAGAAATAGAAGATGATGAACAAAATAGGAAAGGTATATGAGAAATCGGTGTTCAGGGCACGTTCTTAATTTCAGATTTTACAGTGTTGCATATTCACAACTTGCTATGACATATTATTCTTCCAGGTCAAGCAATGGTCCATTTTACAAATGGGTTGTGAGGTATATGAGTCACTGCATAGGTGAGGATAATGAGGGTATATTAACAGCATTTATTCCATGCATTTTATTCCCTAACAAACCAGACAGGGATAAGGAAGATAAAGACCTGAAGAAGACAAGAAGTTCTTGAAAGTAAAGCTTCCCTGGTCAAAAACATATTTCTCCTGATACATTCCATCCAATAGAAACTCCTTGGGGGTTACTAAGGTCTTTTTTGAAACTGAAATTATTCCTTCAGGAAGTTCAGGCCTTATTTACCTCCACGGGAGACTGACTTACATAAAACTAATGTTTCAAAGCTTCTGGAAAAATGAAGGCTTGTATGAGAGCAGAAAGGAAACCTTTGAATTTTAGAGTGGAAGGAAAAGCTATTCTTTATTTGCAGAAAAAAGCAGTCATTTATTCATTCATTTGTTGAATGAATAAATGACTGCTATCTGCAAATACTTAGTGAATGCCTACTATGTTGCCAAGTTCAGCTAGGCACATAGTAGGCATTCACTAAATATTTCATGGCAGGACGTGCAATGTAGAGAATAAAGCGGAGAAGCTGGACAGGGAGAGTGCAGTTGATGATGCTGCAGTTTTTCTTGGGCAGTTAAGGAAGGCCGGGAACCACTAGGCTATAGAGGAGGTAAGAAATACAAAATGAGTTCAAAAAGAAAGGTGGGAGGGCACAAAAAAAGCAAGCATTGTCACACCGTAATTTCACACAGAATCCTATTCTCTTTACTTTTCCAGTTGAAATTCCAGCCATAGGGATCTTACCTGGGTCAGGAAGCAAATGTCAGCTTCCTCAGTTCTCTCCAGTCCATTTGTTTCAGTGTAGCTGATATTGCTCTATGTTTAGCCCTTCCTCTACTTGAAAATGGGAGTGAAAATGAAAAGAAACATAAGGCAGAAGAGAAGCATGTGATTCTAGCCTTCTTCCTCCCTTTTCCATCCCAGTTCTACATTAAACAGCCTCTCCATTGTGAAAATTTTAGAACACGCCTCTGTAATTTCACCAGGCTGTTGGCCTGTACAGTAAGGATGTAACTTTACAAAATATACTGTGCTAGGCACTTTACCCACTGTGATGCATAGTGCAACACATTCTTCTTGACAAAAGAAGAGAGTGATTCTGCCCATTGAGGAATGCAAAAGAAAATACATCTGTCTTACTGAATTTATTAATAGGAAATAGGTTACCTTTTGATTCCCCAGTGGAGTCTTTACTACTGGGAACCATCAGCTTATCTTCTCTAATCAACTTCTCTTCTTCCACCCTTTCCATTTCTCAGTAATAATTCCATTCTCCATTACACAAAAACCCATGTTTTTACATTTGGTCATTATATCGTTAATGAGTAAAGTCAGAAATTTAAAAAACAACATCTCACATAAAAGAACACAAAGGGTATACTTAATATAAAAATAAACACTGTGAAAGCAGATGAGTTTATAAAAGAAAAGTTAACTAAACCAATTATCAAATTTGTTTCTTAACAGCTTTATATGCCATGGAAATTAAAGTTGAAAAAGACTTGAAGACGGGAGAAAGTACAGTACTGTCTTCAATACCTCTGCCATCAGATGACTTTAAAGGCACAGGAATAAAAGTGTATGACGATGGGCAAAAGTCAGTATATGCAGTAAGTTCTAATCACAGTGCAGCATACAATGGCACCGATGGCCTGGCACCAGTTGAAGTAGAGGAACTTCTGAGACAAGCCTCAGAGAGAAACTCTAAATCCCCAACGGAGTATCATGAGCCTGTATATGCCAATCCTTTTTATAGGCCTACAACACCACAGAGAGAAACGGTGACCCCTGGACCAAACTTTCAAGAAAGGATAAAGATTAAAACTAATGGACTGGGCATTAATGTAAACGAATCCATACACAATATGGACGATGGACTTTCTGAGGAAAGGGGCAACAGCTTCAATCATATCAGTCCCATTCGGCCAGTACCTCACCCTCGATCAGTGATTCAACAAGCAGAAGAGACAGTTCACCCCCCACAAAAGAGGCTGATGACTCCTTGCGAAGAATCAAATGTCATGCAGGACACAAAGGCGCCCTCTCCAAAGGCAAGGCTGAGCCCCAGAGAGACAATATTTGGGAAATCTGAACACCAGAATTCTTCACCCACTTGTCAGGAGGATGAGGAAGATATCAGATATAATATCGTTCATTCCCTGCCTTCTGACATAAATGATACAGAACCAGTGACAATGATTTTCATGGGGTATCAGCAGGCAGAAGACAATGAAGAAAACAAGAAGCTTCTGACAGGATATGATGGGATCATCCATGCTGAGCTGGTTGTGATTGATGACGAGGAGGAGGAGGATGAAGGAGAAGCTGAGAAACCATCCTACCATCCCATAGCTCCTCATAGTCAGGTGTACCAGCCAGCCAAACCAACACCACTTCCTAGAAAAAGATTAGAAGCTAGTCCTCATGAAAACACAAATTATAAATCTCCCCACAAAAATTCCATATCTCTGAAAGAGCAAGAAGAAAGCTTAGGCAGCGCTGTCCACAATTCCCCATTTGATGTTCAGACGACTGGAGATGGGACTGAGGATCCATCGTTAACAGGTAATAAAAATGACAAGGCATGCCACTGCTGTTCAGTCATGTGACCTGCTTCTCTTGTGCTAACACAGTCTTGCTTTCAGCCTTCTTTGACCACCTCATAAAACTAATATGCACTGAGTTTTTTTATTAATGCTGATAGGAATTATTGTCACCCCAGTAAAGTGATTAAGTCACTTCAAAAGATAAAGAAAGTAAAAATAAATCATTGCCTTATTTGATATTGTATTGATGAACTTTAATAACTTGAATTTCATCTTGTACCAGGGTATGGTGCTGCTTGTGAGTGTATTTGGGTCACTAATATGTTGGATCATCAATTACATATCTTTTCCCACTAGAATCTGATGACTACTTTATTTGTGCCTCACGGTGATTTAAGCTTCTTACATAAGTTAACAAATTGCCTTAATTTTGAAACAAAATGCAAGAAACAAATTTTCTTTTCAGAGCATTTTATTACTTTGCTGTATCTTCTTTCTCTACACTTCTATAGTTTCATTAATTTCCCTAATTTTTCTGCATTTTAAAATAGAGCCTTACTTTATCTTGTGTTTTCTATAATCTTTAACTTTGCATAGTCTTCCCCAACTTAGCATATTTATCTTTTCTATTTTCTATATATTTACATTTCTCATTCTTTGTAAAATTTTTATAGCTTTATAGCCAACCAGCTATTTTAGCATTGAGTAGAAAATAACTTTTGACACTTTTTTCCTACAAAAGTGATAGCTTCCCAGTTTTAGATTCCTTGTTATCACTTTGATGTTATATTCTAGTTATCATGTATAAAGAATAAATAAGAACCTGACAAAATCAGTTATAATAGCTGTACTCACCTCGGCTAAAGATGTAAATCAAATTACCTAGACATATGGTTTCTATATGTCTGCTAAGGATAGTAATTTTAAATGTCCCTAATGGAAGGATTCTCATTAAAAAGCAATAAATATTAAATACAGGCTAATTTCACAAGTAGAACCTGATAATTGTATGGAAGTGTGGTAATACCTGCATAATTCAATAATATTTCTTCCTCTACAACCCATTAAGCCCAATATTAGGTTGCCAGCAATACAGTAAAATGAACCCTCTCCCATTATTTTAAGTAGTTAAAGTAGGTATCCCAAAGATAAATTTAATCACCTGAAGAATTTCTAAGTTTTTGGAAAGTGTACACGTATATAACTTCCTCAGAGCTGAGTGGTATGTCCCACAATGGAAAGTTGCAGATACTAAGTTTCTTTCCATTAAGAAAGAGCTTTGTTCACTGATCAAACTTTGCCATCTTAAACTCATTTTAAAGCTAAAAAACACAGAAGACAGAAAAGAGGAACATGCTGTTTATGGTCAACAGTAGTGGCATTATCCACTATAAAACCTCCCATTTCTGAACTAGGATATTAGCTGGCTCCTCTCTAACACCCTTATTTCTTCCCCTCTAACCTTGTCAACACATTTACCCCATGGAAAATGACAGGAAGTGACTAACATTTCCATACAACACTAATCATGCCCCTGAACTAAAACAATGAAAACAGGAAAACCTATTCCAGACAAAGTAACAATACAGAGTTCTGTACTATCAACCAAAGTATCTTACAAACAGAATGCTCCAAATTCCTCGCCTTCCACCAGGATATTGTTTTACAGTGCTGTTTTCCAATTCAGCATACAGACTACAGAGCTGATGTGTATTTTTAAAATGGGTTTTTAAAATAAGTAAGTCACAGTGTCATATGCCCTCAGGGGCCATACATATACATAGAATACATAACTACCTATGCATTTCAATTTCACAAACACCAAATGGGTTGAGCTACTTCCCAAAAAAATGCTCATGATACTTGAAAACTCACCATTTAGGTCAATTCTTTTATTTGTAGTATACATCACCTATTTAAGATAAATAGCCCTGGTAGGCGTAATAGTTAAGAATTGTTAGTCTCTTTTCCCATAGTACAAATATGGTTATCAATGCCTTATCTAAGAGAAATTTTAATTTGGAAAACAGCATGAAGATGAAATAAATGGAAAAAAGTAGAGCCTGGAGATTCTAAAGACAAGATTTGTTAGTTAAAATTTTGAACAGAGTAAGACATGACAGAAAAATTCAGGCAACATTATATCCATCTGCTAATGTAAATATAACAGGTTCATAAGATAAAGCTCAATGCCAGACACTTCCACCATTGCATGGCCCCAGCCAGCTTTGCTTGGGAGCTCACTGCTATCTCCACCAATCAGGGGGTAGTAGTTGGCTTTCTTTGGTAGTCCTCACCAACCTATTCTTGTACTTCCAGCTCTGTTCTGTCCTCTTAGAGATGTCAGTGGCATTCTAGGATGAAGTGGTGGGGACCTCAGCTCTGGGAGCTCACATGCTATTGGTGCTGATTGCCAACCTGCAACAGCCATTGGGGTCCAAGGGATGCTGAGAGTAAGGAGACTTTCACCAAGTTCAGTCAGCTGAAACCATGCATCTGAAATGCTATGGGAAGAAGAGGCAGAAAATAGGAGTAAATCAGAGAACAGCAGAAAATAGGAGTAAAAAGGAGAGCTGATGGCCCAGGATTTTTAGCTGCTAAACCAAGCCTTCTATTGCCAACACACTCTGGCCCGTGCATTTACTGGAACTCACACCATGTACTTGCTATAGGCTTGAAAAAAGGAGAGAAAGGAAAGCAGACTCTAGCAAACTTCTCTGAATGTCCACAGCACACAGAATGTGCCTGATGTATGGCATTTTACAGTGAGGAGTGACTGTAAGAAAAAGCAGTTTGCCCCTGACTTGAGACTCTTAAAAAGCTCCTCACTCCCACTCTCTTTTGTTGGTAGGGGCAAGGTAGAGGCCCATAAAATCCAGCAGTGGAAACTTCATAATGTCTTACCTCTGCCTTCTGTTCACCTTCTGCCAATCGAGACCTGCTTGCTACAGAGCACGTTTTCTCAGTTCATCCTAAATTCTAGGGAATACTCTTGGCGCTGACACTAGAAATGATCATCCCTCTTATAGTTTCCAGGAAAATAATGCTCTTTAACTTCATTGAAATGGAAGTATTTCATATAAGTGTAGTGACAACTAAAATAATCATGGTCTTGTTACAGAATTAGATCCCTTCTCATATTTGTGCAAAAAGGCTTCTTAGGCATGGGGTCATTTTTATTGTCAAAGGGTAACCAGTATATGGCATAGAAATGAGAAAACATTTCTTCCATTTTATTTTTAATTAAATGAAATTGTGCAATCAGTTACATAGCTGGTTCTTGGGCCGTATTACATGTGAATGTAATATTAGATTATTATAATAATATTTAGATCAGTGCCTTGAAAGCATTTCTAAACTTTTGGAACATGACTAAGGCAGCTATACACTGAAATCCTAAATAATAAGGATAGAATACCAACACACTTGTCCAGAATACCAGAAGTGTGGTACACATTCTAAATCTACATTTTGTCCAGAATACCAGAAGTGTGGTACACATTCTAAATCTACATTTTTAAAAAATGCTTTCTACATTCAATATATTATTAGCAGAAGAATATATCCAAAAAGATATATTTGCCATTTTAAAGCATACTTATATCTTGACAAAGACATTTTATAATCACTCCCTTATATCTTGACAAAGATATTTTATAATAACTTTTAATTACTGGTTCATGTTATTTCATTCATAAAGAAATTTGTTTTTCTTATTATATATCCAAAGGCCAGAGCTCCTTTGGGAAAGGAAGTTTAATGAGCTAAAAGCAAACACAGTCATAAAATAGAGTTTAAGTGACCCCACCTTTTTATTTTGGCAGTATGTAGCTCAGAAATGTGTGTAAAACACAGTCATCAACCTATAGGAATGTATATGTATGGCTAACAGGGAAACTGTGCACTAATCCTGTATTTGTTCCACTTATACTGTCTTTGCTCTACTAATTTTTCTAATCTTTGTAGAAATAGGTTCCTTCTAGTTCTGAACCTGCTTCTGCCCTAAGTTAACCATAGCTTATTATTTCTACTATCTTTTTGTGCTACTGAATCAATGCTCACATTGTTGGATAAAACCATCTGAGGTATGTTTGAACTTTCCTGCATTCTATGAATGGTCATTTAGTGTAAAAATTGAGGAGTTTTTTATAACTCTCTTTTTTTCTTTTATTGCAGCTTTAAGAATGAGAATGGCAAAGCTGGGGAAAAAAGTCATCTAAGAGGTGTACCACCTAATACAAACATCCTTTGGAGAAGACGCTAAGAAGCATTTGCAAATTTCTCTTCTGGATATTTTACTTTTTCTAAAGTCCAAAAAGTTATCATTAACAGTGTACCATATTAAGCCATGTGAATAAGCAGTAGTCATTATTTGTGAAAATTTCCCAAAAAGCTGGGGAGAACAAATGTGTAACTTTTCCAGTTACTTGATATGATTCAGTGGGAGAAAACCAGCATTTTTTACTATATTGATACCAAAGCATTTCTAATAAGAGCTTGTTAAATTTAAGAATAAAGTTATTTAAAATATTCTGAGTATACCATATTAACTGGCATTGTAATTTTGATGATACAAAGATTGGAAGATCACAGGAAAGCACTGCACTTCATCACAGAGGTAGTCAACTCTGACAAGTAAATGTGTCATCCTGAATTAATGATACCTTTATGAAAGTACATCCTCCTGCTAAGTATTATTTCAATTGATTTGGTATAGACTTCAAACCCTTGCACATAGCCAAAACATGCATCCCATAATGATCCTCAGATCTGGGGACTGGGTTTAGATTGTCTGGCCAGTGCACAGATGGTAACTGGCACATTCATCCTTCTTAAATCATCATTCTTTCTTTCACTCAGTTTAATGTGAGCTCTGTGGTGCAATGACTGATTATGACCTCAGGGTGCTGGATAGAGGATGCCCCATACCCTCAGAGAGCACAAATCTGGTCTAATACTTGACTGATTCTTGTGAACAAGTTAGACGGAGGTGGCCAATCTTTTGGCTTCCCTGAGCCACATTGGAAGAAGAATTGTCTTGGGCCACACATAAAGTACACTAACACTAACAGTAGCTGATGATCTAAAAAAAATGTAAAATGAATCTCATACGGTTTTAATAAAGTTTATGAATTTCTGTTGGGATGCAAATCAAAGCCATTCCAGGCCACATGAGGCCCGTGGGCAGCAGGTTGGACAAGCTTGAGTTAGAATCTTAATATTAAAACTAACAAGAATCTTTACAGCATATTACTCCAACGTGTTCTTGCCAAGACACTCAATCCCAGTTTGAAGGGGAATACTCCCATGACAATAAATTCTCTCCTACCTTGCCCTCTTATTTTTCCCTCCTTCCAACCCCTCAAGATCCACCCCTACACACCTTCCCCTGAACCATGCCAGTATGTATTACCCAGCTCCTCCAAGTGTGTCCATGAATAGTATGTTTTCTCCCAGGACAGAAACTGAATTTTCCTCTGGGACTCTGTATGAGCAGACTTTATCTTAATTACTGGTCTGGAGGTAATGAGAGGTCAGAGAAGCAGATGATGCTGAGGAAGACAGGCATTAACCTGCAAAGCCTCCGCTTCAGCTGAGTGGATTTGCAAGGGGCAGCTGTGCTAGCAGAAGAGCGCTACTTCTGGTGGCTGAAATGTTCTGCGAAACCTGGAGGTTCAAATTTTTGAAGTAAAGTACTTTCAACAAATACCCCTATTCCAGGTCCAGGGACTCCTTCCCTTTCGTGGCTCTGAGTTTCGCATAAGCGACCTCTCCAACCTGCACGTTCCTTTGTTGCCCAGCCACCCTTAGGATTGAAGCATGAGTTTTATTTTCACACAGTTTGCCTTCTGTCTACAAAAGACAGAGGTCTCTTTAAACATTGCCATGAAGCCTGTCTGGCTTTCTGGAATGTCCCGAGGAAATAGTGGGCTGGTCTGAGCCTAATTCTTTTTCTTCAAAGCTTCTAAGTCAATTATCAAAAAGCAGCCAACTTCACAGCACATGTCAGTACATGACAATGCTTTTGCACTGTATCAGTAAAGGGCAGAGCTGCTTTAAAACCCACCTCTTCCTTTTTCATCTGTACCTCATCTCTATCCAGTAAAGGGAGAGTCTTAGTAACTGTAATAATACAGTCAGTCAAAGGTTGTTACCATTCACTGATCACACAGTCCTCATTGCCCTCTGACCAGTGAGTGGACGGTCCAGTTCCAGAGTCCCATTCAGAGCATCTGCTGTGTAGAGCCACTCCTGGTTCCAACAAGAAGTAGAGCCTGAAATTAGGACTTGGGTATAGTAGTTTGAGAAGTGATCCTGGGAGCAGGAAGAAAAGCACAGGAAAGAATGATCTATATAATGGTACATAGTAGAGGTCAATGCTTTAGGCACTGGGCCCGAATTCTACCATAATCTCAAAGAGTGTACAGAAAGCAGCTAACATTGTCGGTCTGAAGGAGAGGACTTTAGGGCCTTTATCCACCAGCTCCAGTCCCTCATTGATTGAGGGAGCATAAATTCCTCCACACTTCTGGAATGCACTAGCGTGAGAGTCACACAGGCTCCCGTAGTGCCCAGAGTGAAAAGAAGAAAGAAGTACAGAGCAGGCCTCTGGAAGGATGGTAAGTCTGCACTTACTCAGAACTGTCCACGGCAGCTACGGTGCTGCACAAATGGACCAAGGGGAAATAACACAGGTACCAACAGTGTCTAGCTGTATAACTATGGGCAACAAACAACTTACCCAAGCCTGAATCCTCATCTATAAAATGAGGTAAATGTCACATGCCTAACACAGTTATTTGAGGACTCAATTTGTCAGTGAATTAAAAGAACCAAGTGTCCTGCTCATCATCAAGTCTGGCTAAGGTGTCACACATAAAGGTAGACATCATACACCCTCATCATTTCATATCCTGATGTTTTGTATATTTAATGCTTATTTTAGGTCAATGAGATATTTCAAGTTAAGTGGAGTAAAGTAAGTGAAGGAAAACTTTGGGGAAGGGTAAGTGAAATAAAAGTTCAGGGTATTTTTTTCCCAGAAACATTTAGTTGGTCCAGCTCTATTTGCTGAAACACTATATTTTCCACATTGAATTACCTAGACACCTTTGCTAATCAATTGGTCTTAGAAGTGAGAGCCTACATATGGATCTCTGCTCCGTTCCATTCATCTGCATCTCTCTCATGCAGATTGCAAATTTTATTTATAGTGGCAAATACTGTAGTTTTGTATTGGAAACAAGTAGGGGTAGGTCCTCCAATCGTATCTTGTTTTTTAATAGGCTTTAAAAACAGTTTTAGATTAACAGAAAAATTGAGAAGACAGCACAAAGTTACCATATACCCTGTACCCCGATTTTCTATTTTAACTTCTCACATTAGCATTGTACATCTGTTACAATTAATAAACCAGTAGTGATACACTATTATTTACTAAAGTCTCAAACTTTACTCAGATTCCCTTAGTCTTTAGCTCATGTCCTTTATCCATTCCAAAATCCCAAATAGAAAACCATTAGTACTTTTAGTTTTCATGTCTCCTTTGGCTCTTCTTGGCTGTGACTCTTCTTCAGATTTTCCTTGTGTTTCAATGACCTTGACAGTTCTGAAAATAACTGAGCAGGTATTTTGTATCTGGGTACAAACTGTGGGTTATAATCCAATACAATTTGCTGCTCCAGTTGGTCCAGCTTTGGCTAGTGAAAGCTCGTTCACTCGGCTCCTGTGCCCCTTTCACATACCTGTCTAAGTGATTTTGCTTCGTTTTTTTCCTTACTTGCTGGCACTACAAAATGACCCAGTCTCATTCTATCTATTTCCTTCCCCAGTTCTAGAATCAGCAACTTATTCAATAGTTTGTTTCTTTTATTGGAGAATGGGATGGAAAACAAGATCCAGGCATGCTCATTGCTACTTTGTCTTCTTAAATATTGTTTTGACCATTTGAGGTTCTTTGTCTTTCCATGTGAATTTTAGAATCAGCCTGTAAACCCCTTCAAATGAGCTGGCTAGAATTTTGATTGGAATTGAATTTAAAGATCAGTTGGGAGAGAATTATCATTCTAATATTGTTTGCCAATCCATGACTATAATATGTCTCTCCATTTGTTTAGGTCAATTTTAACTTCCCTCAACAATATCTGCAGTGTATAGTAGGCAGATCTTACACACCTTTCATTAAATATATCACTAAGCATTTCATCATTTTGACACTATCAAAACACAAGTTAGTCTTTAAGTTTTTTCTAGCTTTTCGTTGTTATTATATAAAAATTGTTTTTCTAGAGACTAGCAAACAATACAGTCAGGATGGCTAAAGGTGACCCCAAGAAACCAAAGGGCAAGATATCTGCTTATGCCTTCTTTGTGCAGATGTACAGAGAAGAACCTAAGAAGAAAAACCCGTGGTCCCTGTCAGTTTTGCAGAATTTTCCAAGAAGTTCTCTGAGAAATAGAAGACAATGACTGAGAAAGAGAAGTGTAAATTTGATGAAATGGCAAAGGCAGATAAATTACACTATGACTGGGAAACGAAGGATCATGGACCCAGGAAGGGAGGAGAGAAGAAAAGGAATCCTAATGCCCACAAAATGCCACCATCGGATTCTTCCTGCTCTGTTCAGAATTCTGCTCCAAGATCAAATTCACAAAGCCTGGCATCTCTATTAGAGATGTGGCAAAAAAAAAGCTGGGTAAGATGTGGAATAACTTAAATGACAGTGAAAAGCAGCATTACCTCACTGTGTTATTCCATTCTCACGCTGCTATGAAGAAATACCTGAGACTGGGTAATTTATAAAGGAAGGAGGTTTAATTGACTTACAGTTCTGCATTGCTGGGTAAGCCTCAGGAAACTTACAATCCTGGCAGAAGAAGGAGAAGCAAGCACCTTTTTCACAGCGTGGCAAGAGGGAGTGGGAGTGCCAGCAGGGGAAACACCAGAGGCTAATAAAACCATCAGTCTCATGCGAACTCACTATCCCAAGAACAGCACGGGAGAAACAACCCCCAGGATTCCATTGCCTCCACCTGGTCCCACCCTTGGCACGTGAGGATTATCAGGATTACAATTCCAGGTGAGATTTGGGTGGAATCACAGAGCCAAACCATATCAATCACCAAGGCAGCAAAGCTGAAGGAGGAGTGTGAGAAGGATGTTGCTGATTATAAGTCTAAGGAAAGTTTGATGACACAAAGCGTCCTGCTATAGTTGCCCAGAAAAAGGTGGAAGAGGAAGATAAAGAACTCAAGGAGGAAGTAGAGGAGGAGGATGAATTAAAAAACTGTTTATCTATTTAAAAACTGCTTTTCTCTTTGGGAGGCCGAGGTGGGTGAATCACAAGGTCAAGAGATCGAGACCATCCTGGTCAACATGGTGAAACCCCGTCTCTACTAAAAATACAAAAAACTCGCTGGGCATGGTGGCGCGTGCCTGTAATCCCAGCTACTCAGGAGGCTGAGGCAGGAGAATTGCCTGAACCCAGGAGGCGGAGGTTGCGGTGAGCCGAGATCGCACCATTGCACTC